ATGCTGAAGGGCCGAAACGTTGTGATCAATATGACAACAAAGATGAGGACAATAGTCCGAATAATGTAAATAGTGTACATCATACCTCATCTCAGATATATAGACAAACCATATAAATGTTAACAAAGCTAAAACACCAAGTTCTGATCGTCATAGACAGAGCTTGCATATATAATTAAATAATTAAATAGATAGTATATATGTGTGTGTGTGTGTGTGTGTATATATATATATTAGTTTTTGAAAAATTAGGTAATCCGTATGGGTAAACCTAAGGAGGATAAAATCCAGAGCAAAATTTATTACAACTTATTAAAGTGGTCTGTTTTTTTATTTATATATATATATATATATATATATATATATATATATATATATATATATATATATATATATATATATGAGTCCTTGTGAGTGACAAATTATTTTCCCCCCCCACAACCTTTTTTTTTTTACAAGCAGGATGTAGCAAGCCTCTGACTGCTTTATCATTCTGCTTTCATGGAAAGTGCTTGGATGAATTACATTACTTGGTTCTGCCATGATGGTTAGACATCATGCCACTAACATCATAACAAACCATTCACATTCCCTCCATATTTCATCAGGAAGAAGTCAGTTCCACTCGAACAGCTTATTCCCACAAACCGCTGCACTGTGGAACCGACTCCCAAGAGGATGTTTCCCCACCGATCACTACAATTTTAACCTATTCAAGTCTAGAGTTAACAGTTACCTTTCCCTTCTATCTGCACAAACTACCTCTTAAGATAATCCTCTACCTCAAGAGGCTCCTGGGCCTTGAACAGGCTGAACCTCACTGTAAAAATATATTATATAATAAATGTGAATGTCAGCGTGTCACACTTTTTCAACTTTACTCCTAGAAGCCATAGCCCAACATATCCTACCATTTTGCAATCAAGCCAACTCTGTGAGAAAATTAAATGCATTCTGGGCCAGATCCAGACTTGGACCCACAATCCTGAAATTTTGGATTCCCAAGTTTTCATTACTGTGATGTTTTCGACAAATTTTTTTTTTTTTTTTTTTTACATGATTTTTTGCAACAAATTTTTTTGTACGATAATTTTTATAACTTGGAAATGAATTTGGGAATAATCAAAATTAATTGCAAAGTCCAGCAAAAGTCACCCATGAAATAAGAATAATTGTTTGTATAAAAAAGTAAGGACCTATGTACATCAAATTGTCTTTAAATTAAGTGGTGGCAGAAGAATTATTGGTGAATTTTTAAAAGGTAAGTTTAAATATTAATGCAATATTTAAATGCAGTAATCAATTTTGAGTTTTTCTGTAGTTTATTGTTGCCTATCACATCTTCTCTCTATCGATTGTGATGAAAGCCCAATCAAGAGCCCTCTACAGGAGCTAGCTTAAATGCTGCCTTCTTAGGCAGCTTTTAAGCTAGTGTGTGTGTGTGTGTGTGTGTGTGTGTGTGTGTGTGTGTGGCCCCATTTCAGAATTGCAGAAAAATGCTAATAAATTTAAGTACAGTCATTGAAAACTTATCACACCAAAAGTAACTCAATTTTTTGTACACTGACAGGCTCCAGATATTTGAATATTTACATTCATATATATATATTTATTGATGTTGTATGAGATATGCATTATTCTTTGAATTAGCAGATGGTAAAATATCTTAGAATGAAATTTTTGGAGAGACTCAATTTCAGAATATGATCAACAATATTTTCTTCATGAAAAGAAATATTACCAAAAAAAAAAAAAAAAAAAAAAAAAAAAAATCAAGAAAATATATATTAGCCAATAAGATTGATATTTAATAAATCTAAAATTTAGATTCATCTGGAGCCTACTATTTTATTATAAATATGATCAATTCTGGTTCACTAACTAGTCTTTTGGTAAACCTTTGACCAGGGTGTTTGTTTGATTATTTGTTATGCAAACAAAACTGAAATTCTCACAATTAATTACTCACATCTTTCGCAATTTTATTTGAGTATACAAAATTACAAAGAAAAAAAGTTTAGCGATAGATTCATCATTCCACTGACTTGTTTACAAGTGGTGACAGTAGTAACTAACTTCCTGCCTTTTTTTGTTCTGAGGTTGACAACTAGAATTTTAAATTGAGATCTGAATTTGAAGATTCACTTAATTCTTTGTTTATACATGCTTATTCCACTGCATATATATGAATGTATATTTAGGCAGCATATCATCATTCGAGCATGTTTCATTAAATAATATAGACATGTCCATTTATTTTTAATATGTCCATTTATTTTTATAATAATCCTTTTTAGTTCTCTAATTATCTTCTTGATATCAAGTTGAAATTCAACATATTTTTTGTTAACCCAAGTACTTTCGATCTCCTGCAAGATGATCCTCAGAGGGTCAATTGTGAAAACAAACAATTTAATTGTAATCGTTGTGATAGTGATTTTGTGAACGTGCTCTGCTATAATTATTTTTAAATTAACCGTTGTGGTTACGATGTTTTGTAAACATGCGTTCCAAATCTGAGGGTGATAACCAGAGATGGTAAAATTGCAACTTGGTAATTTTCAAAATCGTGTTAAATGTTAGTCAACTTAAAAACATTTTAAAACACTGCTACTATACTTGTAATAAATTTTGTTCAGTGTTGGTTGGTTGCTTTTGATATAGAGGGCCACAAGAATTTGAAGATTTTGTTTATTATTTTCATGGTGGAGTATATTGGTGTTGTCAACAAGTATTTTCCTGTTTTATGAAGGTGGACAGGAATGTGTTTTTATATATATATATATATATATATATAGATAGATACACCTAGTGAGCCAGACAAACCTACCTAGGTCTCACCTAAACGGATCGTCAGGAAAATTTGGCTGACGATCCGTTTAGGTGAAACCTAGGTAGGTTTGTCTGGCTCACTAGGTGTATCTAGGTCTGCTCTCTACAGCTGTATTGAGCTCTTTTGTTAGTTAGTTGTTTATTAAATTATCGGGGTTTTTCTTTTTGGGCTTCAAACCTGCATCTGTGCGATTTTTTTTTTGACAGACTTTCATGTTTTGTAGCTCTTTCTTTTTTAAAAACCATTTTTTCCCTCGAGATTGATTTGATTATTGGCATATCAAAAATTCGAGGTTTTTCAAAACAAGTATAGTTATCTATATTTGTATATATATATATATATATATATATATATATATATATATATATATATTCTTCAAACATGATTTTTTTTAGTGGATACTCATCTTTGAAATAGACATCGTTTTTTGTGTTTCTTTTTTTTTAAAGTGTGTATTATATCTATGACACATGAGAGAACTTAATAAAACAATGGGCTATGCAGCAGGGTTCAACCCATGTCCCCCTTTATAGGAGAACCCCACTGCCACCATTTTGAACCACTTGACCCCAGAGAGGCTCATATCTCAGCAATGTTCTATTTGCCCTTTTGAAAAATGTACAGCTCCTCATTCAGCTAAGTCCATAAGCATAGCTGATCCTATATGGAGAGGGAAAAGGATGGAATGAAGTCAAGAAAAGACAGTGGAGGATAAGACAACTAAAAGAAACAGCACTCACAACACCCTCAGTAGACCTAGCATAGAGATACCATTTGCAAGCCTCTGATCAAGAGAGAAAGGACACTTAAAAAGAATTCCACCACCTGGCTACAGACATTAGGTTTTTAGATATAGAATTTTAACATTAGATTGTTGAAGTGGATGAAAGCATTGGCTAAAATTTATCTGGTTCTCTGGCAGTTGGGAGTTCAATCCCCAAGCCTTGTAATGCTGAAAAGTCACATAATCTGGTTTGGTGGAAGAAACAGATAAGTGACACAAAGGTGAATAAGACTAGGAATTATTAACTGATTTGACATATCTCCACCTAAGCAGAATACGTTGATAGGAGTTATCTCCCTTAAACAGAATAAAAACAGTCTGCCATCATGGATTTTGGTTTTAAAATTCCAAAACTTACTGTATATTGAAGGCCAGAGAGAATAATAGTTGAAACATTATAAGTATAGCAACAAAACTGAACCTGCTGAACAGTGATGTATAATGTGAAAGTAAAGCAGAGTCAAAAAATAGAGGTTAAAGGTCATTAACTAGCAACAGTTTGCAAGTCTAACCACTAGTGTATAGCTAATTCCTACCAAAGAAAATGAACAGTCCTCCAAATGAGAGCCAGTCATAAATGAAATTCAGTTACATTATAAAAAATAATTTTATCAAAAGATAACTAATCCTAAGTCATTTAGAGTGTAGGGTTCAATCAGTGCATAAGACAAGAGAAACAATTGAAGAGGTGGGCAGCTAGAAATTGGGAAATGACCTCAAAAAACATCCCCCTCCCCAAATTTATAAACAAGATATACAGATGCATGCTGGGATTTCTTCTTAGCCAATAATCAATAAGATAGGCCACTTTGTTGTCTCATAAACTTTGACAATTCTGTTTGGTGGTCAATTCTGCCAATTCCATTTCACCATAGGCCAATTAGTCTACAAAAAGTATTACTCTTGCTTTGCCTACTTTTGTCTTGCATATATTGTTTGCTTAATATTATTTTTGCCTTCTTTTCTTTCTCTTATGATTGCTTATTGCAAACTTTATCAATTCTGTTTGGTGGGCATTTTTACCAATTTCATTTCACCATAGGCCAATTAGTGTACAAAGTTTTTATTTCAATGACATGCAAAAGGCTGGAATGTTTACTTATTTAAGTGTCAAGGTCAAACGACAAATTGAAAGACAGGGTAGGGAGCATGTGGGTGGTAGAAGAAATAGTAAAGGGAAAGAATATTCAGGGCAACAGTTTTGAAAGAGACATAAGCACACAATTCCAAACCCGACAGTCAGACAAGAATTGGATAATCAAGCCGACATAATTCAGGTTAAAGAAAACAAACAAACAAATCAATACCAATGATGACTCAAAAAAAAAAAAAGTAAAAAATATTAAAATCAACAATGGCATAAGGATAATGAAAGGAAGATACAATTGCCTGAAATGTTGTAGATTAATGGGTTGGGGGAGGGGACGAGTGAGGAGATAGAAAAGGAAAAAACACAATGAGAGGGAATGGTAAAATAAAAAATCCTTAAGTGTGAGGGAGAGTGGAGAGAAAAAAAAACTCTGAAGAAAGAGATAGAGGGAGGAAATTCCCAAAGAAAGAGGGAGAGTGGGAGGAAATTCCCAAAGAAAGAGGGAGAGTGGGAGGAAATTCCCAAAGAAAGAGGGAGAGTGGGAGGAAATTCCCAAAGAAAGAGGGAGAGTGGGAGGAAATTCCCAAAGAAAGAGGGAGAGTGGGAGAAGGATAAAAACAACCAAAAAGTGAGGGTGAAGAAAAAAGTATGTTGGGGAGAGAAGGGAGGAAAAATGTAGAGAGAGAGAGAAAGAGAGAGGCAAGGAGAGGATGGAAAAAAACAGAGAGATATAGAGGAAAAAGGAAAAAAACTGAAGGAAAGGAAAAAAAAACAGGAAATGAGAGAGGTGGAGGAAGAACAAAGACAAAACAATGAATGTGGGTGGGTGAAAAAAAAAATTCAAACAAAAAATAAGTTGAAGAGAAAAACTCCACAGTGTGAAAAGTGAAAACTCAGAGTGAAAGGAAGAAAGGTAAAAACCATGGCGAGTGTAAAGGAAGGAGAAGCTCAAATAAGACTGGGAAAAGACGAGAAAAGCCATAAAAATCCTGAAGCGTGCAGAGGTAACAGGAAATGCTGAAAGGAACAAAAACAGACCAAAAAGAGAATGACCTCCCCACCCCCTTAAAAAAAAATGGCTGTCACCAATTGCAAGAGAGAAAGGAAATTAGATTGGAAGAGGAGGAGTTCTGCTGAAAAGAAGAGAAGACAACAGCAGGTCGAAAAAAAAAAAGAAAGATGAACCTGTTGGGAGAGAGGGTAGGAAAAAGTTGACAGCCTGCCAAGATGACATTGAGTGGCAATTTTAAATTTGTCAGGACTGAATTTGCATCCACTCCAACTTGTACATTCTCCTCCTCATCAGCATTCAAAATGCCAAGAAAAGCCAAGGACTGGTCGGCAACAATCAAATTTGGTACGGAACATCAGAAGTGCAAGAGGAAAGGCAATGGAAAGTAAAGGGTTCTTGGAGAAATCTGAAAGGAAGCCCCTCCCTATGACACAGTGGCACTTTTATTGCAGTAGGAAAAGACACGACTGATGCTAGCAATGGCTACAAAGAATCGAATCTTGCCTCTTCTAACAAGCAAAAATGTTAAACATTTAATTGGCTTGAGTTTTATGGCAATTCTAGATATTTTTATTTGCAAGATTGGATCACTATTCAAAAATAATCACACATCCACAACTGCTCAACAGATATATTTATGTGATATTATATATATATATATATATATATATATATATATATTTAATAAAGACATTTTATGTTTAACGTTGTTATTTATAGATACAAGTATTTAAGCAAATGCTCTGTTTATGATAAACAGTATTAAATAACATTTACCATCCTGAATGTCGGAAATTTTCATATGAAATATTCGTTCTTTGACATTCACCTGCATCCTAAACGTTATTTAATATTTTCTATGAAAATTTCAGAGACATTTGCCAAAATACTTTGTATCTATAAATAACAACGTTAAACATAAAAATGTCTTTAATAAATAAATTGTCGGACCTTGTCCATTTCTTAACATATATATATATATATATATATATATATATATATTCCATCATGTATTTAATAATTAATAAATGTTTTCATACTGATCACATTGGTACAATTTCATTTGTCTTTGTTTTATTAGCCAACCTATCTATTCAATTATATATATATATATAGCAACACATACACAGATATACATACACCATATTTTCTGGCTTACAAGATGAACTTCTTTTTTTTTCTGAAAAATACATGTGCATCTTCCAAGATGAATGTAAGGCAACACTCAGACTCAAGTAAGCTTGGACAGTCACCTAATTGGCTTGACTGAAAGGGACGTGGATTTGTATGCTGAGCCATTACACTATAATGTTTACTATCTATCTAAATCAGTCTTTTATATGATGTAACCTCAGTACTTAGCGGTTACAAATATTTCCAGGACTATAAACCTTCCTGGAGCTGAGCCACGAACTTAAACATGCTCTGTTTACTAGCAGTGGCAGTAGCCTTTCTTTTCTTGACTAGTATGTCATTGCTATACAAATAAAATCAGACGAGTGATTAATGTAAACAGTATGTGGCACCAGTATGTGAGGGACACATGGTGAATATGTTGTTGTATGAGAATGACTTTTTTTTCTTAGAAATTTCTTTGCAATATTAGAGTGCATCTACCAAGCCGCAGTGTCTTGTAAGGCTGAAAAATATTGTAAATGAATATAACAAATGGAAAACTGTTTCATTGAAACTCGATTGTGTGTTTCAACCTAGTTAGGCTTCATCAGAACCAAACAAAAGAATATATCCTATTTTATACATATATTGTCAACACGGAAAACACAAAGACATACCTAAGAATGTATAAATCTTTTATTTTTAACCCATTTCAAAAATTTGGATAAGTATTTGCCTTAAATTAATTTCAGAAAAGAATGCATAAATCTTTTGCTTTCGAGCTATTCTGAAAATAGGATGAGAATTTACCCATAATTCAATGGGGAGAAGGTATAAATAAACTTCAACAAGAACAAGAGAATTGTAAAGATACAGAATAATGGCTTTTATACAAAAGTCACACAATTTTGTTTTTTTCTTTCATCTCAAGAAACACCAGCTTAGCAGAAAAAGTATTAATGATTTATTATTTAAGCATACACACAAACACAGATTTCTTTCTTTCATTTTGATTTGATGAAGCTTAACAAGGTCAAAACACATAATCTAGTTACAATGAAACAGTTTTCCATTTATCATATTCTTTAAACATTGTCTGTTTTATATATATATATATATATATATATATATATAATCTGTGTATATGTAAAATTTCAGAGAAACGGTTTCTTTAAAAGGACAATATGAATCAAGACAAAAGGAATATTTATCTCAGCTGATGCATTTCATCCTCTGAGGACTTTATCAAGGCAAATACAAGAATTTTATTTTGTAACAAGTATTTATAGGCAAGAGTAGCAAAAATCTGTCTGTATTTCTGAGATGAGGTATTGTAATTATTTACATTGTTCGGACTGTTGTCCTCATCTTTATTGCCAGATCCACAATGTTTCAGCCATTGAACACCACAGCCTTCTTCAGGTGACTGGAATTTCGAACTGAACCCTTTATTTCATCCACCAAGGTAGATTGTTTTAATTCCACATGCCATGCCTCCTCTGGTTGTCTCAGTTATCTCCCTTTAACTCAACTCTCCAACTTTTTGTTCATCACTGCCATAGCCAGGTATTGAACTCACAACTCTTTGGGTCAAGTCACTGGAGCCAACCAAGGCTTTTATCCACTGGGCCATATACCCTTGAAGGTTCAGTTTGAAATTCCAATCACCTGAAGAAGGCCGGAGTATACAATGGCTGAAACGTCATGAATATGACAATAAAGATGAAGACAACATTCCAAATGATGTAAATAAGAGCAAAAATGTTGTTAGTTTTTCAAATTTTTTTTAATTTAAAATAAATTTTCAAGTTATTTAAACTTTCCAGCTACCCTAATGAATATTTATGAACATTTTTTAAAAACTAAATTTTTTGCTTTTCTATAAGATTCTTGAATTTGTCTTGACAAAGTCTCTCAGAGGATGAAATTAGAACATGTACATATCCACCACAAAGCTGTACATCTTGTTTCAATGTTAAAAAAAATTTTTTCAACAAATATATCTCATTTCTACACTGTGCAAAATTCTATAAAGACTGGAAAAATAAGATTTAAAATTAACATTGGTGTTTTTGGTTAAATGGCTGAAAGAAATTCAACAATTATTTTCCTATTATAATTGTGCTTGTTCCTCCCTTTGTTAGTTTGCATGACCATTATGCCCTGCCAATACTGCGTAAATAATGGACAATTCAGCATTTTGATTCCATGGAAAGAGGGGAAAATAAATTACTTGGCTTCTGTGAAAGAAAGGGAAGATAGAAGGGGAACAGATACTACACTTTGATCTCAGTTATAGGCCAGAGATGTGGTGTTTACTCATTCCCCCATAAGAATGAGATGTGACACAAGGTCGGATTAATGTGGGAACCCGAGCACGTGCACCCGGGCAGGGTCAAAAATTCCCCTCGGCCCCTGCAACCGTCGGTTACGCTGGCCTCAATGTGAGCACCGATCCCTCCCTTTTGTGCAATAGGAGGGATCGGTGCCTCTGAGCGCACTCTGTCCAAGGACAGAGATGCAACTGAGAAATGATAAGTCTGCGTTGAAAATCCCTCCAAAGAGGAATTTACATGCGTGGGCCATGGAAGCCAGAGATGTGGTGACAACCGTGATATGTTTTTCAGACATACAGTATTGAATGACAGAAACCAAGTAAGGTAATCACCAAAAATCCAATTACCATAAATTAAATAAAATAATATCTTCTGCTGAATATTTGTAAATTATTATTGAGAGAAAATGTTCATAAGACAGGGATTTTGTTAGAAACAAAAGAAATAAGTGAAGATAAAATTGTTTAACATCTCCTGCCAATACCTCATAAATAACAGACTATTCCGTTTAGATGGCGTGAAAAGAAAAGAATAGACACTACTTGGTTTCAGTGAGAAACTAAATGAAGAAGGGAAGATGAAAGTGTTTAACCAGCAGTTTCAGCTGAGATAAAAAACATTGTCAATTTTAAATCTTTTCATTTGTACCCCCTTACGTCTTAAAATAATGACCAGCATTCATATTTATGATTGTTATTGCAATATTTTTAAGTTGTTAAGCTCAAAAATGTGGAATAAATAAAGGGTTCGGTTCAAAATTCTGACATATATCACCTGAAGAAGGCTGGAGCATACAAGGGCCGAAACGTTATGAATATGGCAATATAGATGAGGCAAACAGTCTAAAAGATGTAAATAGTGTAAATAATTCCTGAGAGCAATGATAAAAAAAAAACATCAAAGGAAGAAAAGAAGCTGTGGTGAGCTATTATTTCCTCTGTCCTGAATGTTAAAACAGGGAGAGCACTTCACCAAACGACAGAAAAATATTCCCTGAGGAGAAATTTCCAAAAGTTTAAATACTGCCTAATGGTTAAATCCACTTTGTCTGAAAGGGAAATAAGTTACTGCCACTATTAAGCTGAGGAGTAGGAGTTTGAGTTGTTAGCTAAGAATGGTGAGTTCAATCCTGGGTAGGAATCTACATTGTTAACAGCTCTTCCCTTTTCACTTTTGTGGTAGCTTATTTATCATACATTTTAATGTACAATTTTTTCTAATTTTTAACAAAGAGAGATTCTAGACTCACATTATCTAGAATCTTGTTAGAGGAGACACCTCTCTTAAGGAATCTGCAACTTCGCTTGAGCTGGAAATTCATTTAAATTTATGTATTTATTCTTAGCCTTTTATCCAATATTTAAATAAATGAAAGAGCAGAGGCTCATATAGGCCTGCATTGTCAGTTTTACATATTATTGGAAGATTTTTCCAGCTCGTCTTCAATACATAAAAGTTCTAGAAGATATTTTCTATAAAAAGTGCAGGCTTCCATATTATCAACCATAGCAAGTGTCTCTGCTGCCTGCATGCTTTTCACAACACCCTTGACTCTGAAATTGTCAAGAAGAACATAACTCTCATTGTCACCCACAATAAAGACAACATTTCCTACTTGAGATCCTCCATTGTTAAGTCCAGCAAATCCTACATCACTATATGCTACCAGTTTTATTCTTGCAAGATTGTCTAAGTTGGGTATTAATAGTCTGAAGGGGATTTTCTTAGCTTTTTTAGCTGATTTATTTACCAGCGATATATACCTTTCTAACTTTTAAAGATGATGTCACATCACTTATCTTGTAACTTAAATCAGGCTGTGTCTGTGTAACTAGACAATTTAGCTTCCCTATTGAGCATGACGAAACTGAGTTTGTATTAATTTTGGTCTTTGTAGGTAAGAT